TCACTCTTTCGCATCCGCAGTGTGATCAAGCAGGGTGGCACCAAGACTGACAAGCTGGAGAAGCTAATGATTCGTATTGGCATCTTCACTGTGCTCTACACCGTGCCTGCCACCATCGTCATCGCCTGCTACATCTATGAGCAGCACAACCGGGAGGCATGGGAGCAGGCACAGAACTGCTCCTGCCCAGGGGACCCCCACCACCCCAAACCTGACTACGCCGTTTTTATGCTGAAGTACTTCATGTGCCTGGTGGTGGGCATCACCTCTGGTGTCTGGATCTGGTCTGGCAAGACACTTGAATCCTGGAGGCGCTTCACAGCCCGCTGCTTTCGGGCCAGGAAGCCTGTGGGTGCTTCCGTGTATGGCGAGGCCAGCCCAGCGCTGCCAGGCAGGATGGTGGTGCCCAGCATGGCCTCCTACCACAAGCAGGTCCCGCTGTCCCACGTGTGATCAGAGGGAGCCTTGGTGACGCCAGCCACAGGGAGGAGAGGGTTGCAAAGACCCTGGGCCACAAAAGAGGGGGTGGCAGCTGGGCCACTCTTGGCATCCTCAGCCCCACCGTGGCGGTGCTGCCCGGGACCGAGCATATGTGTTTGGTGGGCATGGAGCAGCCACAGCTCAGGCTAGGGCAAGAAGAGGTGCTGCCAGCAATGTGGGGGCAGAGGGACAGGGAGGCCTGGAGCCTGGCACTGTTGTGTGTGCCCCATTTGGGATCCCACACTCTATTTGGGGTCCTGGGGTGCTGCTGCCTGTGGGCACTTCAGGTGGCAGGTCACCCTTGAGCACCAATTTGTGTCCCACAGTGAGCCTCTGGGCAGGTCTTGTTGGGGTGAAAGGGAGAGCTGCAGCAGGTAGGGCAGGTGGTGGCCCCTGACCCGAGGTGTTGTGCTGGCAGTGGCACGAAGCTGCTCACCAGAGCCCAGGGCTGAGGAGAGCTGGCAGTGGCAGCTGCACCCTGTCCTGCTGCACCCAGGGCCCCCCCGGGCAGAGCGGGATGGCTCCCCCAAAGCCCCCCATGTTGCAGAGGAGAGAACTGGGGTCCCTAGCGTGCTGAGCCCTAGGGAAGGGAAGGGAGGCAGCTGCGGGGCCAGGGGCTTTGAGGGGTTGCAGAGAGGAGCTGCCACCTGGCCCTGGAGGCTGGCGGGTCAGGGTTCCACCTCCCTGCATCACAGGCAGGGACCAGGTGAACCCAGAGGTCCCTTCTCCCCAGGCAGGCACCTGCTGGCTGTCCCCTGGCAGGGGGCGCTCAGTGCCGGGCAGGGTCTGGGGTCATGGGGCTTGGGTCTGTGGCACGACTCCTGAGTCTGACCTGTTGGTCTGTGATGGGCAGCCAGCTCCACCTCCCGTGGAGCAACTTGCCCTGAGAAGCGAGGGGCTCTGTGAGTGACAAGGCTGCCAGGGCACCAGTGGCTATGGCCTCCTCCTGAGCTGTCGTGTGCCCTGCAAAGGGGTCGATGCTGCTCCCCACCTCTTGCTTCTGCCACAGGGTGGATTTCTTGCCTCTCCCTTGTGTGCTGCAGGTTGCCTGGGGTGAGGTGGGCAACCTTGGTGCGCTGCCTGCCAGCCTGACAGGGCTGGATGTGCTTCTGCAGCTGGCAGTTTGTGCAGGGGGGTTTCTGAGGTGGGCGGCAGTCTGTCACTCCTGGGGAGCCTCTGGATTTTCCAGCCAGCCAGCTTCAACACTTCTAGCTGCTGTTTTCAAAGCTGCACCTCTGTTGGAGACAGTGTCGGGTTTAAGAGTAAGCAGTTAATTTAAGAAAACTCAGCAGAGAACTTGTACTCCCTTTCCTTCAGCTTTGCAAGCTTTTAGCACTTCCCCAGGTCCGCCAGCAGCAGAGCACTGACAGAAACAGTGCCTGGCATTAAGCGGTGGTGACAGCTGGGTTTCGATAAGTAGAATGATGGGGGAATTGAAGGGGGGGCTGTTGTCAACTTCACTGAACACAGTGAGGGTGAGGGACTCTGGCTGTGGCACAGCTGGCAGCCTCTGGCTTCAGCCCACTTGTGAAAGCACCTGATTTTTTAATTTTTTTCCTGCCCTGAGTGCTGATCGTGTATGTAACCACCCAGCTACTGCTTGAGTCCTTTTTGTCCTCTCAAGTGTGGCACTGTGACCTGGCTGCTCAAGCACTGGAGAACAACTGCTGGCTCTGCTCCCACAGGACTTGCAAGGATGTGAGGTTGTTCTCAACACCCTTGGACCACTTCAGTCAAGAAGGTTTCCACTTCATTTTAAAACCAAAGCCTGGGAAGTGAGGGGGACACTCAAGTGGCACATCTGCTGATATAGGTGCTGCCAAGGTAACTCAGGAGTGTCTCTGGGGCACTCTGGATGGAGGAGCCAGCGGCTCAGCAGGGGCTGAGGGTTCAGCATGGGCTGAGCAGCACATATCAGCACTCTTGTGACAGTGGGCTCGCTCCTCCAGCGTGTTTCAGTACTTCACTGGGGACAGAATTGCACTGTGTTGTGTTACAAACTGTAAATAGTTGTATTATAGACTTGTTTGTACATAGAGAAGCCGTAGTGACCTTTGATACGGGTTTGGGACAGGTGTGTTCTCGGCAGCGAGGCAGGTGAGGCTCAGGGGTGCTGTGGGTAGTCTTGTGTTGTAATCCAGGGCATTAAATGACTCCAACCTGTTCCAATCCACGCCTTGCTGGACTCCTCTTTCTGTAGTGCCTTTTGTAGATACAGCTAAACACACATCATGCAATACAATGAACAAAACCATGTCAAAGGTGGTGTTTTGTTGTTTTCATTTTTTTTTCAAAGTGCAACTGACTGTGTAAAGCTTTTTTTTTTTTTTAAATAAAAAAAGCGCCAAGATTAGCAACAAACCGTTGCCTATTGAAAAACCCAAGAGCATTTTCAGCTTTGATCTAATGGTGGGTTAATGCAATCAACGTGTGTTTGAGCCTGGCTTCACAGCAACAAGTGGCAGGAGGGGGGGAAAGGAGCCGTTGCCGTGCACCCTGTAGCCAATTTACATGTCCTTTTTTGCCTTTTCCATTACTGATGTTCTGTTTTTTAAATAACTGTACTATATTTTGTGATGAGCTGAAGAAATTTTATTCAGAGAGAAGTATCAAGTTTAGTTATTTATGAAGACCAAAAAACCCCAGCCAAACCTTTGTGGTGTATTCTTTGCTTCTGCTTCTGCTAGACTATTAATTACCATAAGAGCTTGCCTGTGAGTGGGACAGGGAGGCATGTACTAGGGGTGGTGGAGGACTGGTGAGGCATTTATGGCTTTGTGGCTCAGGAATGCATGTTCAGAGGGTGCTGTGCTGGCTCGCTGTGTTGCTGACTGGTGCCCATCACCTCCCTGACAGTGAGTTTCCTTGACAGGCCAAGGTCACACTGTGCTGGTAGAAGAGGGTTAACTATCAACTTATATTGGTGTTCTGCCATTTGCACAGTATCAGTCCTTTGCCCTGCACTGGGCAAAGGCCTTGATGACGTACCCTTTGATACTTTTCAGGGCAAGCAGATGACATGTCTTAGACAAGCAGGATGCTGCATGCCGAGTGAGTGTCCGTGTTGCCATTTGCTGTGCATGCTCTTGTGTTCGGAGAAGCACTTGAGGAAGGACAGCAAGGGGTTAAGGCTGGCTCCCTGGTGACTAATGGTGCAGGACTCTGCTATCTAGTTAGGTGTGTAGGCACACACCAGGTCCCACTAGATAGGATCTCCTACCTGGAAGCAGCATTCCAGCACCGTTGATAAACCTGACAGCAGCACAGCCTGACTCACCCTTCCTCAGGGCTGGGTGATCTGCACCCCCATGCTCAAGTACAGGCAAAACATGTTGTCAGGGGCTGATCCTATCACACAGGGCAACTGTTTTGGGGTGTGGAGGGGACATGGACCATCTCAGCAGCTGGTTCTTACTGAGGAGCTGCAGACCCTCCCAGCCTGGCTCTGGAAGTAACTCCACCTGGCCAGCAGCCTTGTTGTCATCCTTACCTCCCAGGAAGCTGCTGTGTCCTCAGCTCCTCCATAAATGGGAGTTTGACAGAGCAGGAGCCACAGTGGTTGCTTCATCTGAAAAACACCTTGTCCACAAAGGCAGACTGAGACTTTTCTAATCTTATGATAAACAAGCTGATGTTCAGCCTGTTAAATGCTCTTTCCCTAGCTAGTCAATTGGCTGTGTGTGTGTGTGTGTGCGTGAAGTGTGTAAGTAAACTACAGTCACTTTGGCAGCACCCTGTAATTCACTGTATGTGCTCAAACAACTTGTTGCAAGCATAGTTTTCCTAGATAATGTTATGGCAAGTCAGTCCTATGTCAGGCTACTGTTGTGCTGTGGGAAATGCCTGTGTGGGGCAGGAGCAGAAGCTGGTGAGTGCTGAGCTCTGAGCATAACACCAGCTCACCCTGCCCCA